GCATAATACTTTTTTACTAATTAATCATATAATTCTTTTATTGAAGGTTGTAGCGGCTCCTTTTAATGATCGTCTATGTCTGGCCGTAGCACGAGAATTGGAGAGAGTTTTTGGTGGCTGGGTTCCACCAGCTTAATCCATTTTGAAATTCACTTTAATTTTATTCAGTGATAATTTTTTTAACGATTAATGTTCAAGTCAAAATTAATAATGTAGTAGTAATATAATATACAGGGTGTTGGGCTACTCCTGGGAGAAAATTCAGAGGGTGATTCTAGAAGCCAAAATAAGAGGAAGATCAAGAATAAAGAAAATGTATTTGAGGCTTCGCTTTTTAGTTATTAACATTTAAAAACATCCCTGTGGCCAAGCAAATCTCCCTACACCAACGAATATAGGGTCAACACACAAGAGACTTACAGTGATTCTCAAAACCAAAATTTTTAAAACGTATGAATATTAAAAATAGTCATACGACTTTTTCATAAATCTTTATATTATAATTTAATTTATGTATATAATGTACAAAGTTAGTTTAACTTAATAATTAACATTTACCTACATACATATGTATGAATACACATTCACACACATATGTGCGCACTTGACAATGTAAACATCATAGCTTACTATACCTTATTTTTTGTTTATCTTGATGACCGTGATATTCGTTAATAATAAGTTTGCAAAGAAACAAATGAAACACAATTATGAGGAAGCATATACTGATCCAAAAAAGTGTTGGTAGTCCTCCTAATTGGTGTCCATGTTTATGTAAAGCCATTACAAGATGATCATGTGCTGGTGCTATAAGAAAAGTCATAAATAATATGCATTACTATTATATGATTTAGAAGTTTTGTCTTATCAATTTTCTGAATAGTAAGTGAATAGAAATTCACTACCATTCCGAATCGCACGTGCATTTTACAATTTATTGTGTAGAATTGAGTAATTAGCAAAAAATTTGATAATATATAAATAATACTTTATATTACACGAAAAGATACGTGTAAGCATTATAATAGGTATTATCTCTGAATGCCCTTAATCGGTAAAAAGTCATGACTTCACGATCGTATAATAAGGTGTCATATTTATACTAACCATCATCTATGGCATGTACATGTAAAGCATTTCGCAAATCTTGCATGTGTTGATAATCAGATGTTATGTATAATATGGCTGTTAAAGGTTTTGTTAATTTCACTGGAAAATTTGTATATGATTGGCTTAATGAGACAGGGGCATCTAGACACCCTGCATCACAGCCAAAATAGACACTATCACTTTTATCTAAAGCCACTTTTAAAATTGCTCGATTGTCTTCTCCAACCGTTACTGATATATTTAAATGTGTTATATTACCATAACTAATTCTCCTAGGAGAAATAAAAAGTAAATAAATATATTTAATTAAAAATTGAAATACTGCACAATTAAAGTATTTTCTACTCTCTTGCATTTTTAATAAAATAATTCTATTCAAGGTT